TGTGATTCTGGCAGCTAATCATCAGTTGAAATGTAGTTGAAACGGACAAGAGTTATGGTGGGAGTAAAACGCACTGTGAAAGCTTGGAATCATCGCATTATTAAACCAACATCGTCAAAACTGAATGTCTCACATTACCCTTATTTCAATAAATGAAAGAAAAATTAATCAAAAGAAAAACTAATCTAGGGAGGGTTTCGCACCTCGTGCAACGCTTTTGGTCGCGCACATCGCGGGAAACGAGTTTATTAACCTTTTTCCCGAGCGTCAGATTTGAGTCGCAACAGCTGGCTTTCTGTTACCCCACTGAGATGCGCAGCCGCTAAAATGGGTGATAACAAAATAACCCCAAGACAAATTTCTTGGCATAACACGAAAACACTGCTGTGTATAGAGCTCACTACTAACCTGTCTCGCGACCACAGGAATGTATAGTGAAGCGTACCAAATGAGAGGAAGAGAAAGTGAAGGTCAGTCATGCCGGCGCCTATGCACAGCTGCTTAAAAGCGTCTATATTTCAAGGACAAAATCAGCGCCACCCTAGGAATTTTCCTGAACAAGTATTTCTTCAATTTTGATCACATCTCGACAGATGGCACAAGCAGACAAAAAAACTCCAAAAGAACCTACCATTACGTTTGTAGCTGAATTAATACAAAACTGAGCAACGCTCACTGAAACAAGATGCTGCTAATGTGTATATGCGATAATAATCTATCTTGTATACACTTACATCATCAATCAACTGATAAAAAATATATTAAAATTACTTTTCCTGTCTAGGGAAGATGCATTTTGTTTGCTGCAGATTTGCTGCCGAGCGCGGACAGATGTATTTCAGATTTGCTTTCCTTTCGCGAGTGTTCGTGACTGGAAAGCAAATGTGAAAGCCACGCGCTCGCACCTGTGCTTTTGCTTCTGCTGCACGCAACTCATGAGATAGAGTATCAAGTTTGCCTGCCACAAGTTCGGATACCTTGTGCTCACACCTAACGGCGGTGTATTGGTACTACGGAACAATGTTTCCCTATTTTTGACATTTTCTTTTATCTTCATGCGAGTTTCACAACAAAGTTTGAGCACTAATCTTTATAAAATTAAGAACGTATTTTGCAACTATAGACCTTTCCATCGCTTATCACCCGAGCGAAAAATGCTGAGTCACTGAGCTGTGGACGCACGCGCAGGGTCTGATATACCGCAAGGCAAAGCAACAGCGCATGCTCAGAAGGCGTTCCACAGCCCAGCAGACAAAGAAGGCAGCGCGCAGAAGGCGATGTTTGCAAAGACCTTTACGGATCACTAACTGTTACAAGTTTCAAACGTAAAAACCGAGCAGTTTTTATAGAAATGAATTCTGCATTTCCTTCCATCAAGCATATTTTGCAAGATATATTTATATCTCAAACAAAGATAAAAATGGAAAAAGGACCACGATCTGCAAGCACCACTAACCTACACATCTTAAAAATTTGAAACAGATTGAAAAACTTTGCTTATTTGTACTATACACCAACTCATGTTTACAAACAAACCAGAGGGCCCCTAGCGGACGCCACCGGCGCCGGGCATGCGCGATGGGGGAGTGGGCAAGAAGCTCGCCTGTCGGCGTCGGTGTGAGTCCCCCTGAACTTTTTCGCGTTCGAATTGTTGATTCTACGTCTTCCTGGCGATGTCTGACTATCTTGAGCGGCGTCAGCGAAATTACCGAGGCTCGTTACACCGCAAGACTTCGCGTGAATAATGTGACTTGTGGCGATTCATTCCGCGTGGACGCCGCAGTATGTACGCTAAAGCCAGATTCGCATGATGAGATTTCGCTCGCAATTTTCAGTCGCGACGCCACTCGGGCTGCAAAAGCGTGAAACGTAGCTGAGATGGTCGACGTCGATACTGAAAATCGCAAGCAGAATCGGACCAAGTGAATTAGGCATAACAAGTCGGTGATGGTCACTGGTAACAATGATCAACATTTCCTTGTATCTACTGTTTACATCGAGCCTGCTTACCAACCTTCAAATTTAAGTCTTTTGAGGCCTGCACTTTCTTCTTATCACAAGTACCGAGTCAACATTTGGTCTACGGGCCGGCGTCGTCTAAGAGAGCAGACGCCAAACAGAAACGTTTCAAAGAGCAGACGACAGTTCGAACGATTAGGCGGCCGTTTGAACTTGAAGATGCACTGAACGTAGTGCGCAGGTGGTCAGCACAACTTGACGGCTTTCTGGCGTTCATGTTGGAACAAAAGAAATAAATCTGAAGACCAGAAGTATCCGTGAATTCAACCTAAAGTGCTTCCCGTCCAAGCAATCGCTGTCCGACGGCGTCTGCTTTTCCCTTTTCACGGCAAATATCCAGATTCTCGGACGAACCGAGCACGTGAAAACTGACCTTCAAACCTTTCTCGACACTTTTGGTACGGCCCCAGTCGCGGCGTTTTGACCAGAAAGCAGGTTTTTGTCTGGTTCCTTTCAAAGCAACGCAAAAATACACGTCTGCAACATGGGAACTTCTGCCCACAGCCCCAGACCGTAAGTGCGACCGACGCGCCACCACGTACGGCCCAAAACGGCACTTTTCACGTGCTCCTACCGAGCTTAATGTTTAATTTACTATACTTATTTGATATTAAGACGAAGACCACTTGCTCTTCCATATAGTGGCATATATAAAATATTTTTAGGGAACGACCAAGCTTTATAATAACGATTCAAACACTGACTTATATCGTCATTTTTCATGGCCGCCGTGGGGCCTCAGCCTTATAGAAAGTATTCACTGGCGGCCATAGCTCTGTGCGCGGCTGCTGAGAGCATACTGACGGTGAGGCTTCCACAGTTCTTTTGATTCCGCACTATCAAGATTGCGGGTCTTAGCAGCCTATTAATGTGAGCTCGTTCTGCGCATGCGCTCTCGACACCGCCCTCAAATATGGCGTCCAGTGAATACCCCCTCCCCTATTTCGTTGTATTCCAATATTTACAAGTCCTCAGCCCAGCGCGCGATCTCCTCAGCCCTGCACGCTCAAGTTCGTCGCTTCGGAAAGCGAGCAAATCACGCGCCATAAGCACGAACACTGAAAATAGAACCGGCCAGGAAACAATAAAACGCGTTTAAAATATTGTGAGCCGTGGTCCGGCAGGTATGGGGACCTATATCATGACGCTTGCCCACGTGATACACAAGATTCCTCAGGTCCGCGGACACGTTCCTGAAGTCCGCGGTTACGTTCTAGAGTTTTGCCTGCAGTTTGTGGCAAGAACATGACGCATTTCCAAACATAGAAAAAATTAATTCACGGATTTGGTAGGAACTTGTCCGCGGACAAGTCCGTCGTGCGAATACACCTTTAGGATGGCGGTGTGTCCGCGTAAAACGTGTATTTCGGTGTGATTATAATATATATATATATATATATATATATTCGCGATATTCTATATTAACTATTGTGAGGTGAATGTTAAGGACTCCAGCTTAGCAATCATGCTGCACTGGCCTTTGCAACGGAGAAGCAGTGTCGCCATACCTCAAGGGCAGTTCGGCCTCTCGTTGTATAAACGTTCATGACGTTGAATGTGCGTTTTTGGAGATGTTTCGCCCTATTACAGAGAATATTAAATAGTTTCAACCTTGTATATAATAGCGTCATATATCAGCTCTATGAGAACACGCAGGGATTGCGGTACGATAAAAGCAACACACCAAATGAGTCGCCCAACTGTTCGTGGCCTAACACAGTAATCCTCAGCGGGGGTTCACACCTAATAATACCTTGCTATGGAAAAGCCATATATAGAAGTCCCCCCCCCCCCCCCCCCCCCCCCCAATCCTCGCTCTAGTGGTAACACTGCGAACTCACCTCGGGTCATACACTCCATTACATTCCTCGACCAAGCTATAATAAATAACATAATGTGGAACTAGAAGACCGAAAACTGCACAAAAGAGGTTGTAAATCGACCCGGCGGCTTATCCGATTAGAGGGCATCAAGCATATCCCGCCTATTCAAACCCTTCTGTTTTACACGCGTGGCGGATAAAGCAAGAAGCAGGGCATTCGGAAGTCTGAAATCAAAGTGTGCTACAGTCATTGACAGAGCAAGAAGGGTGTCTTTCAAACGCCTCCCGCACGTGCTCCGTGCCTTGGGCCGTGCTTTGGCTGCGCGCATACCATGGGGAGACGTCAAAGCGCGCTGGGGACGGGACAACTCAAGCTTTTCCCTGACGTTCTCACCTTGTCAGTGACAAAAGCAGACGCAGGCAGACTTTGACCTGTTTCGAATTTACTTGCAGGATAGTCTCCTTTGATGTCGAACTCTCACTGTTCACAGTTCGTTCATATAAGAAAACCCTAAGATGGCACCGCTAAAAACGTGCGCAGTGAAATACTTGCCGAAACTCGACAACAGGACCTGCGGGATTATTGATGTAGTTTCCAAGCATATTTGGGGGATCTTCGTCGCACAAATGCGTGCATATTTTTTCCCGTTTCTCAGAAGTGTGGCACAGTCCCGAACTTGAGAAATCACGTAAGGGTGGAAGTTGGCTTAAAATCCCGAGGAGAGTTCGACGCACGTGGCACACTAAACAACTATAAATTATCGCCAGGACCAGGAACGAGCCCTTCCACGGAAGAGCCTGAATTTAAGGATCGGGCCGCGTTCTCGGTGTTTCCCGCAGCGTCTTGGGCAGCGGCGTGGGCTCCTGGCCGGCCTCTCTAATTGCGGCCGTTCGCCCAAAGCCACACGCCGGCAGCGAGAGCTCGGCGAAGCGGCGGCACGCAGGGAGGCCCCCAAAGGGCCCAAAGCAGTCGGTGGCGACCAAGTCGCCGACGTCGTTTGTTATGGCGTAAGTGGCGCCCAGTAGTGAACTGCCTTCAGGCCTCCCATGGCGCCGACTTGAGTAGAGTATTTAGTCTAATAACGGTCGCCTAATGAGCCTTAATGAAGGGGGCCGACTCGGGAGGATGTCTTAATAGGGCCCGAGTGACAGGTCTTACCTTGTTGACGAGCCTTCCGCGCTTGTTGAAACACAGGAAGGTGCCGTTGGAATGGATGGTGAGCGTGGAGTCCATGCCGACCGACGTCAGTACCAGCTTGCCTGCGGAGAGCCAAACGAGAGGGGGGGGGGGGGGGGGGGGGGGACGTTAACAAGCGCTATGATTAGAGGGCTGGCAATTACCAACCGGCTGCTGCTTTGATTCGAAGAGCGCGTCCGGCCCCTGCCCCACCTACTCCCGACACTGTCTCGGGCAGCGGTCGTGCGCCGGGAAGGAGAGAGAACAACTTCGAGAGTCCTTCCCGCGATACGCTTTCCTTCTGCGCACACCAGCGACTTCTTATTTCACCCAGGCACGCGAGAAGCGAGCAAAGAAAGAAAAAAAAAAAGAAAAGCTGCCGCTTGCCATCCGCGACTCCCCGCGACGCTGAAACGGGGTCTGAAATCTACCGTATACGTGGAAGGGGAGGACCAAATGCTTAGTACCAAACCGAAGCGATAAATAGTGCCCCGTATCTCGTGCACGCTACTGCCACGAACATGAACGCAGCAATTTTCCCAGGGAAGTACGGGGTACGGGAGGAGGGTGGCAAACTTTCTCCCGAGCCCCCCACGGCAACGCATAGAGACAAAGTGAGTACCGTGACCCGCACCATGGCAAAGGCGTCTTCGGCGTTGCACATTGAGTGCACCTGGTTGGAGACTGTCTGTTACTGAGTTCATTTCTCACTGGAAATTGGAAGTCGCCCCACACGTTCCACGCCGTGAGAACGGTGCTCTTTCCAACTTGGTTTTTAAAGCCCCGCTGCTGGTAAAGGCCGTGTCACGCGCAGATTCGCGCGGCGAAGCAGAGACCATCCCGGGCTGCCATATCTCCGTCTACCGTGCAGTGGAACGTGTGCTCAGACTGCGCAGTCTGCTATTTCGCAGAAGAGAGCTATTGCGCGTGCTCAGAACGCATCCCCAGCCCAGTAGACAAATATGGCGGCACGCAGAAGGCGATTGTTAGAATGGTTTTCGAACGTGGCAGGAAAGGTCTGAAGACTCCGAACTTGTCTCCGAGGGCAACGAGCAGACACTAGGGTTGGACTGTGACAATTCTCTATCTGGTTGTAAACAGCGTCAAGGGATCTCGGCCAAAGCTCGAAGTGGTGCGAGACCAAAGTGATGCACTTATGTGGTGCTCAACCTGTCTTCTGCTGGCATTGTGGGTTTCAATTTCCTGAAAGTGCCCACGCAACCGTCGCCAGGTGCGACGTTTTCGCCCAACACAGGGAGCGCACGGTGACGGATATTCTGTGGCTGTGTACCACGAACACACTATTAAAACAGACGAACAAGTGTTGAGCGCACAATTTAAACGCGTCGAACACATCAACCTCTATTGAGTGCAATGGTCCCCCAATGCAGATTGCCGATAAAACTTCACCACTAAACGAAGCACTTTTGAAGCACGTTCGATTTTGATTTTAAAGTGTTCTTCCATTGTGTGCGGATTGGTGATAAACGAGAATGATAAATCTTGCGAGCGCTTCGGTTTAATTTTGGGTTTTGGCGTGACAGTCACAGTTCATATTTTTTTATGAGGATCGCGGTTGAGGGCGCCGAACCAATAGATGACATGACTGCTCGGATTAGCGTTGAGGCTTCGGTTAGACTCCCTGTCGAAATCTGTAAGCACTTGCTCAAATGAGCAAGTAGGGCTAGAAGAGCCGACAACAAGACATTGGTAAAGAAGATTGATTTTTTTCTTTCAGAAGAGATGGAGAAGTTCCTCAGTGTCAGAAGAATGGGCGCCAGTGCCTGAGTAGATATGCTTCAGTACAATACAGATGGACGTATAATGATGGATTATGACCTTCACACTGCCATCATAAGAAAGCCATCGAGCCTCCCCAGGTTGGGCAAGTTTGTGGGATACCCCATCGATCGCTATTTGAGCGCATTTTAAAACAGATAGTCTCTTGCGGCTTCCCCTAAAGGTGCTTTATACAATTTGTTCAATGCACTGAGGACTCTTTTGATCTTAGGGGTTTGCCTCCAGCTGTGAACGAGAGCAAGCTGGAGTAGCTGGCTACGACAGTGTACAAAAAACAAGTCTGGTGCGTATTCTTTGAGTCGCGTCAGCACGCCACTCACATTTCCATTGAAATTGGAACCCCCATCAAATGAAACGGTAGAAATATTTCCGGGATCAACCCGACCTTGTTCAGCTCTCCAATGAGCACATTTTTGATGTCCTCGGCTTTTGTCGACTATAGGCTTACGGCTGAAATGAAGGTTTCTTCAATTTCAAAGTTTTCATCGTGAGCAGTAATATGAAGAATACACGTGCTGAAGGCTGCAAGGCCATTCACGTCTGTACGTTCATCAGCACATACGGAATAAGGTTGATTGCCGCTAAGCTTTTCTTGTGTGTCTTCTGATACAGCTTCTCCGAAGGCCTCGCCATCAGGAACGCTTCGAGTTTTCAAATGGTTCACAAAGCTATATTCTCTCGCTAGCCTCAATTTGAGATTGTGGCTCTTTTCTTAGGATGTTTCGTTTGCCCTTCGAAGTGCCTACATAAATTGGCTTCTCAACTTGTCCCGCAGTGATTTACTACTGAGATGCCCGAAGGTGGTGCATGGACTCATTATTAGGAAGTATGAAAACAATACTCCCCTGGAGTACAAAGAAAAAAAATGTTTTCTCCGATGGCGAAAACAAATTGAAGGGGAGAAAAAGGGGAGAGACCCCACCCCTGCTTTATGTAAGGGGGAGAAGAGGATGTTAGGGGCGTTTTTTTTTTTCTTTTTTTTTGGGGGGGGGGGAAGGGGGAGAGAAGGGGTTGTCCGTCTTTTTCTGTGTGTGTGTGTGGGGGGGGGGGGGGTATAAATCCCTGAACACGAGCTCAAGTAATACACCCGCTGTCCCCCATGTGCCTCCGAAAAGTGCGATAAAGGCGCCATCTTTGATTTGCAGGGAACTGGAAAACCTGCGGCGAACTTAAACCAAGGAAATCCGAAAGAGGTAAAAAAGAAATGATGTGTTTGGCACGTCCTAGCTAATAATATAGTGGCATTGTAAAATCGAAGCTAAAAAGAATAATTGTATATACACTTTGAATTGGTTAATTTACACCCCGGAAATTATTTTGGATCGACTATATTCAGCTGCGCAGTGAAATGGCGCGCTTCGGCTCTCTATAGCTTTGGCTCCATTGCCACAGAAAGTTGTCCCCGAGTAGACGAAATTGTCTATAGACCCTTTCTTCAAGGGCGCCACCATCTTGAATTGTTGTCACTTCCAGTATGGGCGAAAACATTGTTTTGCCGTCGCCACGCCAGTAGAAGACGCTTATGATTTAAGCGTGATCGTCACACATTATCGTTTTGCCTCCCACTTATTTTTTTACTAGTTACCGGTTGAAACGTTTTAGTATTTTTTCGTCGCCCATACCGAATGTGCCAATTAGGTGACTGGGGACGAGAGTACAGGAGAAAAGGTCTATAATCCTACGGAAGATATAATTGCTACAGCGACAGAGTTGTAAGAATGTTAACGCATGCTTAAAAATTGAGACCTAAAACTTTGAAATTAATATTAATCGTCGTGAAACCGCAATTAAAAAAAAAAGAAAAAGAAAAGCGGCTGCATGTAATATCTCCAGTCTTTCTCTTCATACACACGGAAACTGCTCTACAAATGGTGCTGTGCGATCAAATTTTCTAAAGACTTTTTCAGCTTTTAATATTTATTTATGATTTACGGAGCTTCCTTTTTAAATATATAATTACTTCCTAAGTAATTATTTAATGGCGATTCATTTTAAATAAGGGCGGAAAGCGTATAGTGACGGTGTCGGTACTGCCTCCGAAATATTATTTCTTCCCCGCGTTACCGTTACCTTTCTTCGTAACGACAGCCATAGCCATTCTCAAAACACATTTTGCACTCCAAATTAAGATCACGAACGATTTATTCCGTAATAGCGGAAATTCAGACTCCACATTTCCTGAATCAGTGCAGGCGCTTATCATTAAGAATTCTGCATTTGCGAGTTACCAAACAATTAAAGAAAATGTGTTCTCTGGTGCCTAAAACACTCGCCGAGGAATGCGCATTCGAACACAATGCTGCGTTCGCGAAAAACACAAGGACGTAATTCTTACCGCTTAGGTATGTTGCAAACTAGCTATAAAACGGACGGAACTTGATAAGCAAGCAAATCCAGTCGTAAAGCGCCCGCTCGTTGAAGCTCCTACCGTCTGGCAAAGCAGTAATGGCCAGTTTTAAATCCAGCTGTTAACCCTACGTATGTATGGTGTTTCCACCATACGTATTTCCTCCTAACAAGGTCAATTTATTTTAACGGCCTCAAATCTATTTTTTTTTTTTTTCGGGGCACACGGGATATCTCAAAATTGAAGGTCGGCGGAATTACTCTGATCAATAAACAAAGCTAAAAGTTTTTTTTTTTCCCTTAGCATAAGATTTGAACTAAACATACCGAGCATAATAAACCTCGTGTTTACAACCCGTAGCGATAGGGAGATAAAGCTCGTTCGCTCATTGCGCAGAGGTGCAGCGAAGTCAATGCGTCGAGGTTTGATTGGAGGACCATGGTGAGTAGACACAAATATTTCCGTCTTTGCGTCTGCCCTATGTACCCACCAATCAGAGCAAGCGGGTCCGTCGTCTGCTAGTCTAAGAAATGGCTGCCTTACCTTTTCTACGACTTTCGGTAACCCACCGATTCTTTACAAACGAGGACCTTAATATTCGAGAATGGGGAGGCGAAATAGTTCGAAAGGTAATTCGTTTTTGAATGCGAAAGCATTAACTGTTTCATGGAGCGAGCCGACGTCATCAGTTTGAAGCGCGAAAACGGCGCTTTGAGACCTTTCTCCAAGTGCAGCCAGCTCCCCGCTATGAAACCACGCGAAAAGCTTAGCCAAACGGCACCTAGTTTCCCCGATCCCAAAAGAGCGGAGTAAAGCTGATGTATTTCGCCTTCGGTCCCATTGGCTGGCGCGCGTCGACGAGGCTCCCATTGGCCGCTGTGCGTCGGTTTCAACTATCGCTCACCCGATGGCGCTGCGTGTCCGCGAGGCTCTGGC